CGAAATTAGAGATTCGTCGGAATTAACAATCCTCTTAAGGGAAAGAAGATGAAGCATAGGCTGGGGAAACGAAGTCTCGATTTTTCACGAAATACTGATTTTTCTCGATTTTTCGAAACTCGTCCTTTGCAGTGCATTTTATATTTGCATAAATATACAATGTCATTTGATATTATTATTATGTTTTAGAATTATCAGTATGATTTCAACAGTAACATTGCTGTTTTATTTTTTATGTTTCTGCAATCTAAATATCGTCCAATGTGTTCAACCATATTTTCCTTCACAGGTAACATTTTCCATTGATGATAGTGATCAAACTATTATGGCAATCGATGGCATTAATCAAAAAGCATACAAAAGCTATATATTACGAGGATCAGAGCGAGGTTTGAGTTTGTTATGAAACACTTTCCATATGCCATACGTGATTCACCAGAATCGAAACATTACGTCGAGTTATCAACATCAAATATATCGGATAGATGTTTCTATGGTACATATTGGAAGTATGGCGGTGGTTCATATACTGGATTTCCAGCCCATTGGTATTATAATATGAGTACATACAAGATTGAAAATTATATTAAGTTCGAGTATCCAATGGTACATTCATCTAATCATACACAAGAGAATGAAGATTATTGGTATACCGATAAAAATGTGATGTAGATACTGATGAGAAATATCCATGTGAAGAGATTTATTTTATGAAGAATACAGATATACCATTGAGAACAACGCGAGTTGTTCGTTGTGGATGGATTGCATTACAGGAAACAACAAAGTATAAAATAATATCGAGTGGCAAACCTGATAATAGTCTATTTGATATAATCCGTAAAGATTGGACCTACAATTGTACAGATACATCATTAGGTCTTCTATATTATCCGCAAACATCTAAAATCGATTTAAATGAAAGTTCATCTGTACAAATTTGGGTGTGGGTGCGGGTGTGGGGAGTGGCTGTGGGTGTGGGTATGCGTGTAGGTGTGGGTGTGTGGGTCTGAGGGTGTGGATGTGGGTGTGGGTATGGGTGTACGTGTAGGTGTGGGTGTGAGTGTGGGTGTGGGTGTGGATGTTGGATGTGGGTGTGAATTTAAATAAATAACGAATTAACAATATGATGAAGCAAAAAAGAAGACCGAGTATATAATGTATAAATAAATAAATAAGTGAATAAATATATTAGATAAATAAATAAACTTTCTTTTTTTGTATTGTTTCTTAGATTATTTTAGTTTTTTTGTATTTTGTAAATTTTTGAATTTGTTTTTGTAAGTTTTTCTTTTTTTTCTTTAAGTGTAAACGAAAGATTCTGATTTACAATGAGTTATGAAAAACAAAAGAAGATATGCACC